CATTCATTTGATACTTTGATGGTGGTGATGATAATTTGTAATTGAAATCAAATTATGTCCACTATTATCAGATAGCATAATTGGCATGCCTGATACTAATTTGTAACTGATATTTTGTTGTTGATTACCAATAACACACAGAGTGTCAATCCATGTACCTTAAAAAAAAATACCAAAGAGCTTGAGATGTTGATGACCGAGTCTTCTTGTTTACTCTTGTGGAATGAATCGTTACTAGTTTCTGCCATATTTGTTATGATTCTGTGAGTACTTCAGGTACACATGCATGCCCCAGAACAGTTTTCCATTGACTTTAAAAGAGAATCTCCTACGAGTCTCTTTTGATATGAAAAAATATCAGCGCAAATTGATAAAGTATAAAAATAAAGCGAAGCTTTGTTGATTACTTTATCGATGAGTGTTGATTTTTTTTAGATATCAAAAAAGACAAGTAGGAGATTTTATTTATCACCCAACCTTTTCTTACAAGCAAAAATAATTAAATATAATTATTTGGTATAGATTTTATTTTACGGAACCTGATTACATTACGGAGTAGTGATACATTATCTTTTGACAGCCAGTCACCCGTGAAAAACATTAATGGTAGTCATGTTGAAATATAAACTAAATAAAAGTAGTTTCTTTTTATTAAAAAAGTAGTTTCTTTTTATTAAAAAAGTAGTTTCTTTTTATACGCCCACATTTTCATGTGGACGTATTATGCCGTCGCCCCTGTCCGTCCGTCCTTCCACAATTTGTTTGTGGACACTCTAGAGGTCACAATTCTTATCCGATTTTGGCGAAACTTGAAATATAGGTTTATCTCCAAAAGATCTCGACTGCTTTCGATATTGGCATGTATCGGATCGAAACTTCATGGATCATGGCCCATGTCTGTACGAAAAATCACGTTTTTAGCTTGTGGACCCTATGGAGGTCACAATTTTTATCCGATTTTGTTGAAACTTCAAATGTAAGTTTATAACCCACAGATCTCGGTTCCTTTCGATATTCGCGCATATCGGACCATAACTTCCTGAATTATGGCCCCTGATTGTACGAAAAATCACGTTTTTAGCTTGTGGACCCTATAGAAGTCATAATTTTTATCCGATTTAAAAACCTGTATCAATATATCACTGTTACACCCTAAGGACGACTGAGTTCGAATTTCGTGATAATCGGCCCAAAATTGACAGACAAAATGGCCGCCGTTCGTTCTCAAATAGCGTAAGAATATGGTATATCAAGGTTGTGGACCCTATAGAGATCACAATTTTTATCCGATTTTGTTGAAACTTGAAATGTATTTTATAACCCAAAGATCTTGGTTCCTTTCGATATTCGCGCATATCGGACCGTAACTTCCTGAATTATGGCCCCTTATTGTACGAAAAATCGCGTTTTTAGCTTGTGGACCCTATAGAGTTCATAATTTTTATTTGATTTAAAAAAACGTATTATTATATCACTGTTACACTCTAAGGACGGCTAAGTTCGAATTTCGTGAAAATCAGCCCAAAACTGACAGACAAAATGGCCGCCCTTTGTTCTCAAATAGTGTAAAAATATGGTATATCAAGGTTGCGGACCCTATAGAGGTCACAATTTTTATCCGATTTTGTTGAATCTCGAAATGTAAGTTTATAACCCAAAGATCTTAGTTCTTTTCGATATTTGCGCATATCAGACCGTAACTTTCTGAATTATGGCCCCTGATTGTACGAAAAATCGCATTTTTAGCTTGTGGACCCTATAGAGGTCATAATTTTTATCCGATTTAAAAAAACGTATTATTATATCACTGTTACACCCTAAGGAAGGTTGAGTTCGAATTTTGTGAAAATCGGCCCAAAATTGACAGACAAAATGGCCGCCGTTCGTTCTCAAATAGCGTAAAAATATGGTATATCAAGGTTGTGGACCCTATAGAGGTCACAATTTTTATACGCCCACATTTTCATGTGGACGTATTATGCCATCGCCCCTGTCCGTCCGGATGTCCGTCCGTCCGTCCACAATTGTTTGTGGACTCTCTACAGGTCACAATTCTTATCCGATTTTGACGAAACTTGAAATATAGGTTTATCCCCAAAAGATCTCGGCTGCTTTCGATATTGGCATGTATCGGATCGAAACTTCATGGATTATGGCCCCTGATTGTACGAAAAATCACGTTTTTAGATTGTGGACCCTATAGAGATCACAATTTTTATCCGATTTTGTTGAAACTTGAAATGTAAGTTTATAACCCAAAGATTTCGGTTCCTTTCGATATTCGAAAGGTTGTGGACCCTATAGAGGTCACAATTTTTATCCGATTTTGTTGAAACTTGAAATGTAAGTTTATAACCCAAAGATCTTGGTTCCTTTCTATATTCGCGCATATCGTACCGTAACTTCCTGAATTATGGCCCCTTATTGTACGAAAAATCGCGTTTTTAGTTTGTGGACCCTATAGAGGTCATAATTTTTATCTGATTTAAAAAAACGTATTATTATATCACTGTTACACCCTAAGGACGGCTAAGTTCGAATTTCGTAAAAATCAGCCCAAAACTGACAAGACAAAATGGCCGCCCTTCGTTCTCAAATAGTGTAAAAATATGGTATATCAAGGTTGTGGACCCTATAGAGGTCACAATTTTTATACGCCCACATTTTCATGTGGACGTATTATGCCGTCGCCCCTGTCTGTCCGTCCGTCCACAATTTGTTTGTGGACACTCTACAGGTCACAATTCTTATCCGATTTTGACGAAACTTGAAATATAGGTTTATCTCCAAAAGATCTCGGCTGCTTTCGATATTGGCATGTATCGGATCGAAACTTCATGGATTATGGCCCCTGATTGTACGAAAAATCACGTTTTTAGCTTGTGGACCCTATAGAGGTCACAATTTTTATCCGATTTTGTTGAAACTTCAAATGTAAGTTTATAACCCAAAGATCTTGTTTCCTTTTCGATATTCTCGCATATCAGATCGTAACTTCCTGAATTATGGCTCCTGATTGTACGACAAATTGCGTTTTTAGCTTGTGGTCCCTCAAGAGGTCACAATTTTTATCCGATTTGAAAAAACGTTTTGGTATATCACTGTTACACCCTTATGATGGTTTAGTTCGAATTTCGTGAAAATCGGACCAAAACTGCCGGACAAAATGGGCACCCCTTGTACGCAAATAGTGTAAAATATGGTATATCAAGGTTGTGAACCCTCTAGAGGTCACAATTTTCATCCAATTTTGATGAAACTTGGAATGCATAATTATATCCCAAAGATCTTGGTTCCTTTCAATGTTCACGCATATCGGATCGTAGCTTCCTGAATTATGACCCCTGTCTGTACGAATAATCTTGCTATTAGCTTGTCCCCCTAGAGGTCACAATTTTTATTCGTTTTAAAAAACCATTGTAGTACATCACCGTTACACCCTAATGATGGCTGAGTTTGAATTTCATGAAAATCAGACCAAAATTGACAGACAAAATGGCCGCCCCTTGTACGCAAATAGTGTAAACATCTGGTATATCTAGAGTTCACAATTATGATCCGATTTTGATGAAACTTGAAATTCATGTTTATAACTCAAAGATCTTGGTTACTTTCGATATTCGCGCATATCAGATCGTAACTTCCTGAATTAAGACCCTTGATTGAACGAAAAATCGCATTTTGAGCTTGTGGTCCCTATAGAGGTTACAATTTTTATCCGATTTAAAAAAAACAAAAAACTTGTGAATATATCACAGTTATACAGTAATGATGGTTGAGTTCGAATTTCGTGAAAATCGGACAAAAACTAACAGATATAATGGCCGTCCCTTGTACGCAAATAGTTTAAAAATTGGTATGTCACATTTTTAGCTTGTGGATTCTCTAGAGGTCACAATTTTTTTTCCGATTTTAAAAAATGTTTAGATATATCACCGTTCCACCATAATGATGGTTGAATTGGAATTTCTTGAAAATCGAAATGAAAGTGCCTGACAAAATGGCTGCTCTTTGTACGCAAATTGTGTATAAATATGTAATACAAAGGTTATGGACCCTCTAGAGGTCACAATTTTTATCCAATTTTTATGGAATTTAAAGTAGCTAAGTCCGTAACTCAATATCATCCAAAATCTTCGACATTGAAAACACAAATTTTTTTGCAATTTAAATCAGCATTGGTGTTGTGGTCTTACTTGGAAAAGATGGGCTTCTGATATCCAATATTTAAGACAAATAAACATTTTACCATGGTACACGAATCGTGTACCATAATGCGTTTCAGCGCCATTTGTAACCAGGTGCTCAAAGAATGAGGCTAGACATATTCCAAAAGTCATGTCAAACCGAACGGTGATGCCATATTCTTATTTGGAGAGCATGCGCAATATATACTATTTGTGTTTACTGGAATAACCAGACGCTAGAAACTGTCTTTCGGTTGAGACTTCTGGCGTATTTCGCCGAACATAACTGATGACAATTCACTGTAAAACGGAAACGATTGAATGTAAAACAGTTTATATAAATTCATATTACATTATTATGTGCGTTGCGACCCATTTGTGCCAATTTCTAAGCCCAAAATATTATCGATTTAGCTCCTTTAAAACATATCTTTATATTCCAAAAATCTCAGTCCCTTGTGATATTTAAGCATTTCAGACCATAACTTTCTGGATTATGGCTCTGATTGTACAAAAAATTGATTTTGTTTTTAGCTGTTCTCTATCCATCACTTGCAAAATGTGGGCGTATCCTGCCTGGCAGCGCTGGTATTTCAATAAATCGCTGCATGTAATGGACTTTAGCAGTGGTAATATCCGGGAACAACGACCACTTGACTCCATGACAGATGTTATGATCTATTCGGCCACCCACCAACTCAACAATCCCACCGCAGATTGGGTCACATGACAGGTCATTTAATAAATCAGGCTTGGTTACATGAGCCATATTAAGCAAATGGCAATAATTTATAATTTGTATTTTATTTTCAGGCAATGTTGTGCTACTGGTTCACATCAAATACCTTTTCACTTGTACAAGTTGCTTTTTTAAAAATACCTGCTGTTCAAACTTATTTTAATTTGGGGACAATGGTTCAACATCCACAAAGTGCAATTCCTAAGAAAGCGTTTGTTGATGGATTCAAGGAGTGTAAGTTTTAATTATGTATTTTGGACCTGTAGTTTTTGTTGTTATTTTTTGTGATTTTAGTCAGCGTGGGCAGCCAAAACTGTTCATGGTGGAAACATCTTGGCATCAAATATTTTTTAGTCATGAACCGACCTGCTTATCAAATTTAAATTGGGTAAGTTTTAACAAACTGGAGTAGTTTTACGGATAGGACAAAATATTGCCCATATCTCAGTAACGGATCTGCATACAGTCTTCATTTTTATGTGCCCACATGGGAATATTGTCATATATTTCGAATGACGAAAGTTATCATCCGATCTGTATGAAATTTATATGCATCATTTGAATTAGTCCAACGAAGAAGCCTTTTGAATTTCATCGATTTCTGTCAATTACTTCTAGAGTTATGGCATTTGTTTTACTTCGTTGGAACTTGTGAACGTTCGCATTACAACAGTTATAATCCGATCTGTATGAAATTTAAATGCATTATTTAAATTAGTAAAACAAAAAAGCCTCTCAAATTTCAACAATTTCTATAAATTACTGCCATAGTTTAAGTCCTTGTTTCAATTTATAGAAACATGTGAACCCCCAAATTATAAAAAAATATATGTTATAGTATATGGCCTTAAGCTAACGAATCCAAAATTATACCTCTCTAGGCGGAAAACTTGCTGAGATATGGCCATTTGAAATTAGGGTACTGAAATGGATCATAAATTCAGTAATTTTTTTATGCGCCCACATTTTCATGTGGACGTATATTTTCGTCGCCCCTGTCCGTCCACAATTTGTTTGTGGACACTCTACAGGTCACAATTCTTATCACTGTAATACTGGTGTCGTTTATAATGGGGGTTATAGCGCTAAAGACTAGGTATATAGCTTAATTTCAAAACATCGTTTGATAATTGATAATAATCGTTTGAAAATTACAAAAATAGTTTAATTAGTACTATGGCTTAATTTAATGGTACAGCGTTTAATTTTTCCGAGAGGGGTTAAGAAATGGAGACCGTTCACTTATCTAGTGCGTTTATTTATTAGACGAGTAGTTCAATTTCCCGAGATGCGTATAGAAATAAGACCTGCTTAATTTATCTACTATGTTGAATTATTACATGAATCGTTTATTTTCCCGCGAGCCATCTATCCGATCGGTTCATTTTGATTACGATTATTTGCATATGAAGTGCGAATAATAATGGTGAATATTAAAAAAAGGCACCTTACCGTGGTCGTAGTATTATTATCCATTCAAAATAGTAATTCCGCCATTGACAAATATATCAAAAATCGGTAAATTTAAAAGTGAAAAAAGGTGTAAAGTTAAGCTATTTGCAACCCATTTAGCGTCTTCATATTTTAAAATATTACTTCGAAACTTTTCATAAACTCGTAGCAATAATCCATACGAAGAGAATGTATGTGAAAACTAATTAGTAATGTTTGCAGTTGCCGAGAAATAGGCAATTTTGCATGCGTCACTTTTCACATTATTTTGCCTATAAAAGAGTCAATTATTATTGGATTTTTCATAAAAGTGAGACTTGATGTCTAATGTCAATTGTGACAAGTTCAAACCAATTTAACATTTTCACTGTCGACGGAAATGATGTCATTTGGGCAAAAACTGTATTTTAAGCATTCAAAACACATGTTTTATTCAAATGGGTCTGATTTATAATGTTTTTAAAGGTATGATATTTGATTCCAATCAACAAATAGAATGAACGCATATGGTCATACAGATACCACAAAATGGTTTCTAACTTGTTCCGTTACAGAGAAATAGCCGATTTTCTACAAGGTTTTTGGTGTATAAAAGTGTCGATTATTATTCGATCGTCATACAGTTTTCACCACGTGATGCCTTATGCCATTTATGATTTCATAGAACTAATTTAACTTTTTCATTATCACTGGAATTAATGTCATTTTGGCAAGAACTGTATTTTTAGGCTTCAAAACAAATGTTTTTTTTTTTTTGTCCCCCTGCCTTTCAAAGAAAGCAGGGACTATTAAAATGGGTTCGTCCGTCTGGATGTCTGTCCGTCACACTTTTTGAGACACAATAACCCTTCTTCTAATTGAGCTAGAATGTTCAAACTTGGTGTAGGTGTTTATTAGGTCAATGCCTAGATGGAATTTAAAGATGAGCATTTTCTGCTTAGGGTAAGCAGAGATAAGTAATTTGATTGGTTGATACTTTGGGACATGATGTATAGTTTCATTATATCAGTACCTTGACTAAGTTCGATAATGAAGATTTTCTGCTCAGGGTAAGCAGAGCGGTAAGCAGTTTGATTGGTCGAGACTTTGGAACACAATAACTCTGATTCAAATTGAGCTAGAATGTTCACACTTGGAATAGGCGTTCATTAGTTGAATGCTTAATGGGTAAGCAGAGATAAGCAATCTGTCCATCCACAATTGTTTGTGGACACACTACAGGTCACAATTCTTATCCGATTTTGACGAAACTTGAAATATAGATTTATCTCCAAAAGATCTTGGTCGCTTTTGATATTGGCATGTATCGGATCGAAACTGCATGGATTATGGCCCCTGATTGTATGAAAAATCATGTTATTAGCAAGTGGACCCTCTAGAGGTCACAATTTTTATCGGATTTTGATGAAACTTGAAATGCATGTTTATAAACCTGATTGTAAGAAAAATCGTGTTTTAGCTTGTGATCCCTCTAGAGGTCACAATTATTATTTGATTTAAAAAAACATTCAAATATATCACGGTTACACCCTAATGACGGTTGAGTTCGAATTTCGTGTAAATCTGACCAAAACTGCTGGACAAAATGGCTGCCCATTGTACGCCAATAGTGTAAAAATATGGTATATCAAGGTTGTGGACCCTCTAGAAGTCACAATTTTAATCCAATTTTGATGAAACTTGAAATGCATGTTTATAACCCAAACATCTTGGTTGCTTTCGATATTCGCGCATATCTGATCGTTAATTTCCAGAATTATGGCCCCTGATTGTACGAAAAATCGCCTTTTTAGCTTGTGGACCCTATAGAGGTCACAATTATTTTCCGATTAAAAAAAAAACCCTTCGAATATATCACTGTTACACGGTAATGTTAGGTGAATTTCGTGAAAATCGGACCAAAACTGTCAGACAAAATGGCCGCCCCTCATATGCTAATAGTGTAAACATCTGGTATATCAAGGTTGTGGACAATTTTGATCCGATTTTTAAACTTGGTTTCTTTTGATATTCACGCATATCGAATCGTAACTTCCTGAATTATGGCCCCTGATTGTACGAAAAATCATATTTATAGCTTGTGGATCCTCTAGAGGTCACAATTTTTTATCTGATTTTAAAAACCGTTTAAATATGTCACCATTCCACCATAATCAAGGTTGAATTCGTATTTCGGGAAAATCGAAATGAAGCTGCACAACAAAATGGCTGCTCTTTGTACACAAATTGTGTAAAAGTATGTAATACGAAGGTTGTGGACCCTCTAGTGGTCACAATTTTTATCCAATTTTGATGAAACTTAAAATATATCTTTATATCCCAAAGATCTCAGTCCCTTTTAATATTTGCGCATTTCAGACCATAACTTTCTGGATGATGGCCCCTGATTGTACTAAAAATAGCTTTTGTTATACGCCCACATTGAAATGTGGTCGTATATTGTCGTCGCCCCCATCCGGCTGTCCGGCATCCACAATCTAGAGGCTAAAGTTAATATCTGATTGATTTTAAATTTATACACAGTGTATAAGGTCATAAGACGAAGAAGCCTATTGATTTTCAGTGTTTTCTGATAATTACTGCCAGAGTAATGGCCCTTGATCACTTCAAAAAGTCTTGTGGACGCTCTAGAGGCTAAAGTTAATGTCCGATTGATTTTAAATTTATACACAGTGTTTAAGTTCATGAGACGAAGAAGCCTATTGATTTTCAGCGATTTCCGATAATTACTGCCAGAGTTATGTCCATTGATCACTTTGAAAAATCTTGTGGACACTCTAGAGGCCAAAGTTAATATCTGATTGACTTTAAATTTATACACAGTGTTTAAGGTCATGAGACGAAGAGTCCTATTGATTTTCAGTGATTTCTGATAATTACTGCCAGAGTTATGGCCCTTGATCGCTTTGAAAAATCTTGCGACGCTCTAGAGGCTAAAGTTATCATCCGATTGACTTTAGATTGATACACAGTGTTTAAGGTCTTGAGAAGAACAAGTATATAGATTTTCAATGAATCTTTATGACATGATGTTAAATGTTTCGTATACTAAACGTTAGTAGAATGGGGCAGAACTTTAAAAAAAACAAACAAATTCTAACAGTTTTCTGATAATTACTTAATGACTTGTTACTCTTAATCAGATTTTATTGTATTACACTGTAAAACTTGTATCGTTTAAAAAAGGGGTTTTAGCGCTAAAATCTATGCATATAGTTTCATTTCAAAACATCGTTTGATATTGATAAAAATTGTTTGGAAATTATGTAAGTGATAACCACAAAAATAACGACAGGTATATTTAAATCACATACCATCTTGAAGTTACGTCAGTAATATTCCAGAATAAATTACTGTCTTCGTTTATTCGATGAAACATTCGCGTTTCACAAGTCGATGATCTAAAATATTAAAGTATCAGAAAATACCATAGCCAAAATAATCTGATACGGCACCATGGCATTTCTTCATAACACAATTAGTAGTATTTTGTCTATCATGTAACTTGCAAAAGTTTTTATTCTTTCGTCAATGATACGGCACAATTGTCACATTCGACAACCATACTTGAAATAAGTTTAAAATAAAAATTCCATACGATTATGATATAAGCCTTCAATAAAAACTACAATATTTTTAAAATTAAGCCTTTGTCAGAATGTGTATATAAAAATAAATCATAACGATAAGCGCTATTTAGAACTGGTTTATTGACCTAATTCCATCCGATATGTCACGTGTCATTGGAATTTGCCAGGAAGGATACGCCCACATGTTGCAAG